ACACTGCTAAATTAGGGACGGCTAGCGCAGATAGCCCTCGTGTAGCTTTGCGCGAAATTCAAAACAAACAAACCTACGTAACTATTTCTTTACCGTTCCGTACTGACTATTTGCACTAGCAGTCCCTAATTTTGAACTGATAACCTAGAAGGAAAGCAGCTAGTCAACAGCACCCACCGCCAACTCGTGGGCTACTCTAACTGAATAGTAGGATTTGACTTTCATTATTATAACGCACCCATCCATGGCCCCAAAGTGTGGATCGCGTGTTTACGGCAACGAGACGTGAACCATGAACCTCGGATTCACAGTCCGGTAAGATAACCCCAAGGCTTTACTCTACTGAAACCATAAGCTTCAATTCGAGTGCACCGAGCGTGAAAGGTAAATAAAATCGTTGTATTTAACTATTTCAAATACTATACCTTTCTTAATACTAAAAAAAATCTGATCAGAAAGTTGAGGTCTCGAGTTATAAGAATGGCAAGATGAAGACTTGAGTAGTGCGTCGAAAGGTTTTTCTTTTAAAACCTTCTACAATATTAGGAAAACCAATATTAATAGGTATATTTACTTCTGGTTTCATTATGTTGGCCACGAGGTAACTCTAAATCTAGAAGAGCACAGGTCGAGAAAAAGTTAAGACAACAATAACAAAATGGATTTTTTGAACGAGTTGCTCTTTCTTCAAGGATGCTGTAATTCACTATATGCTATCACATAGATGTAACTATTCAGAAGTTGCGATACATAAAGATGCTGTTGCTCTGGTGGAAAGATTGAGATGTAACTATTCAGAAGTTGCGATACATAAAGATGCTGTTGCTCTGGTGGAAAGATTGAGATGTAACTATTCAGAAGTTGCGATACATAAAGATGATGTTGCTCTGGTGGAAAGATTGAGACTTTCACGTTATAGTCCGGAGGAATGAAAATATGATTTTGGAAACTAATGTTCCAAGTCACATATCGCTGTTTCTCACGGAACCGAGGCTACAGGTGGCTGTCTTGTGAGAATAGCGTTGACCACGTGGTGTTAAGAGACTTTCGTGAGAGATGTGTTGACCACGTCACGATATAATACTGAGTATTGGTGAACCAAGAAAAAACAAAACAAAAAAAAAATCAGCATGTAATTCTACAAGTACCATTTTTTGTTTACGTAAGTTAAAAGATAGTATATTGGCCTTCAAGAAATGAGGGATTCCTCCCCCTTTTCTCACCCAGTGCACCAACCCTCAAAATTTTGATCACGTGCTATCTGTTGAGCATGCGATTTAGATTTTTTTCCAATTTTTTTTGTTGTTTTTAAAGGATTCCAGGTGCGTTTCTACGAAAACGCCACAAAGAAAAAGTTAACGCCCTTTATGTTTGGAAGGGGCGTTGGATTTGAATAAGTTAACGCCCCTTTATGTTTGGAACGGGCGTTGGATTTCAAAGTAGCATGAACTCTGTAACGCCTTACTAGATATAACTTATTTCGTTAGGACAAAACACACACACACACACTGGGCAATATAGTGGCACAAACGTAGACCTGTTATACTTGGAATATAATAAAACAGCCAACATGAAAATCTCAACTCGAGAAAAGACTTCATTGCTCTTTTTAAAGTTGTAAAGTGATTTAGATACATTGACTTGAATTCCGCAAATGTTTGGCTTTTTAAACATATGTTTACAAACCGTTTATACACCAGAATGCTTGTGGAACCATGAGAACATTGTCCCTAATAACACACGAATCACAAAATGTAAACGAAAACAATATCAACACTGCATTCAATTCTATTGTATTACTACTGTGGTGACCAGATATTTTATATAGAGAATGAGTAATATATTTCTTGTCTGGATCAGTTCTCTACACAGAGTATTGTTAGAGACAAAAACTTAAAATTAATCAACGTAATGCAGTAAGTAGACCCTAACGGTAGAGAACGGTAAAAAAAAAGTCGGTAACTTGACCATTAAGACGTTGTATTATTATTATTATTGTAGTTCAATTTAAAGATAAGCTACTCAACTTACGATTCTGGGAGGGAGAGATGGGATTCATGCGCATTAGAGGATTACGCGTTTTGCTGTCACACATATATGTATATATATCGACACTTCACGAACACTCTGGCTGAATGACATTATTGATTGTACTTAACGATTTATAATATAGCATATTATTCAATTTCACAGAATGTCAAAAAATATTCACTATAGTTGATGTCTAGTCGTTTTGCTGAGTTTCAGCGTTTTAATTTTCTCTGGTCATAACTAGAAAAGAACATTTGTTTCTTTGTAATTAAGCACAGAACTGCACCATGGGCTATCTGTGCTCTGCCCACTACGGGTATTGAAACCCGGTTTCTAGCGTTGTAAGTCCGCAGACATGCCGCTGTGCCACTGGAGGGCAAATCTGGAAAAATTGAAGGACTATGATAGAAAGGTTAAATACTGACACTGTGGGAAGAAGAACTGATCATTTTACAGATATTAAACAAATCATTATTTCAAGAACTAACATGTAATTTAAAATACATAACGAGTTTTTCTTTGTTTCTACGTCTGTTTTTTTTTACAGACGTTTTGTTTGTTTTTGTTTTTGAATTTCGCGCAAAGCTACACGAGGGCTATCTGCGCTAGCCGTCTCTAATTTAGCAATGCAAGACTAGAGGGAAGGCAGCTAGTCATCACCACCCACCGCCAACTCTTGGGCTACTCTTTTGCCAACGAATAGTGGGATTGACCGTCACATTATAACGCCCCTTCGGCTGAAAGGGCGAGCATGTTTGGTGTGACGGGGGATTCGAACCCGCGACCCGCAGATTGCGAGTCGAGCGCCCTAACCACCTGGCCATGCCGGGGCCCAGACGTTTTGACTGGTTGAAATAAGAGACGATTAAAGAAGTGAGTTTGTCATTTGTTTGGTATCGTATTTTTCAATTATTCTAGATGGTCGAAACAATAGTATGTTAATTACAATAGAGTGCAGCTTTTTTTATTTTTTAATATCAATACTTCATATTTGTCTGGATTAATAATTCTGGAAACCCCTACCCTTTAGCATTTTTCAAAAATGGCTTTTAATTAATTTAAGACAACTGGTGCCATTACACCCGTGAATGACCTGTCGCACTCGCACGCGCAAATATATATACATGTCGGCAACATTACTTGTGGTTTCCAGTTTTGGTTTTTATGCTACAAATTTCAATAATTCTAGAAACCCCTACCATTTAGCATTTTTCAAGAATGGCTTTTAATTAACTTAAGACAACTGGTGCCATTACACCCGTGAATGACCTGTCGCACACGCAAATATATATATACATGTCGGCAACTTTATTTGCGGTTTCCAGTTTTGGTTTTTATGCTATAAATTTCAATTATTTGGCTTGATTATTTCTGCTTTCTTGATTTACTGGTGTCGCTCAAGTAGTTTTTCCTCAAAGAAAATAGTAACTAAGCGAATTATTTCAGTGATAGGAATCAGAAATGAAGGTTGAAAACTGGTATACACCATGTTGCCCCAAGCTAAAAGGGCGCACCAAGAAGTTAAGTTGATTATCCTATTCCTGTTGTATTAGTTGGCGTTGTTGAAAAAGTCCCTTACTTAACAGCTTATTTGGAAGGGCATTCATTTGCAATACGAGCGATCCAGGGTTCAAATCCTACTCAAGGTTTAATAAATTGTTTTCCAACCGGTCCGACAGTGGTAACAGCAACAAATGGTCATTAATAATAGTCCAGTGACATCATTTTTACCAAACGTGTGTTGATAATTTGAATGCATATATCACGTAGTAACACTTGAATGTTAACAATTAAGTTGATTTTGTTAAACGGGAAGGCATTGAGACACTAAAGAAATAGCAGGATTTTATAAGAGTTCATGTAATGCATAATACAGCTTAGGTCGGGAACTTCGGACGTTTGGATTTATTTCATTGGATTATCATCGTAACAAAACCAATGAAGATCAAATAAAGTATATATATATATTTTCTGGTAACGGCCCGGCTAGCCTAGTGGTTAGGGCCCTCGATTCGCAATCTACAGGTCGCAGGTTCGAATCCCCGTCACAGACGGCCCGGCTGGCCTAGTGGTTAGTGCCCTCGATTCGCAATCTACAGGTCGCAGGTTCGAATTCCCGTCACCGAACATGCTCGCTCTTTCAGCCAGGGGGGCATTATGCTGTGATGGTCAATTCCACTATTCGTTGGCAAAAGAGCAGCCCAAGAATTGGTGGTGGGTGGTGTTGACTGCTGCCTTCCCTCTAATCTATCACTACTAAATTAAGGACGGCTAGCGCAGATATCCCTCGTGTAGCTTTGAGCAAAATTCAAATCTTCTGATGACCCCCTGCTTTCCAGCTTTTTTTCGTAATTTACACATCTTACTCATGTTTTGCGGAATCACAGGTTTCTAGGTTTGTTTTACGTTTAGTCGACGAACTTGCAGTATCACCGGATGATACGTCTGTAAACGACCATAAATCAAAAGCTCGACAGACAAACAAGAATGACTCGCCACTATACTGACCATTAATCACTTTACGGGCTTGGCAGAAGGCTGGATATTCTCCTCGTAACGGCTTGTTTAACTGTAAAATTACAAATCACGCTACTCCTTGAGCAACTTCGGCTGAGACTGAAATTAGTTCAGCGCTTCAGAAGTTACCCAATTAGCAGTTGGTGGCAGCGTTTCAAAGTATTGTCTGTCATCTTGACTAATTACTGCGGATGTTAAGACGTCCTGGTGTTTGTAATACATGTGTGTGTGTGTGTAATTAATTCACACTTGGCGAATTTCGAAACACGTGTACTTCTTTTAGTCCACATTTTTCTTGAAATTCACAGCTTCTTTAATTAATAACAACCTGTAAAAAAAAAGCTGGGATTGTCAAATATAAAATGGATAATTTATCTTATTTTTTAAGTGCATGTTATAGTTCTATTATTGAAAAATATTTATGTGATTTCGACAAAATATTGCACAGATTACATGCACCCATTTTAATTATATTCACAAATTTTCTAAATTTTACTATCTCCTCCCCTTGTGGCTCAGCGGTAAGTCTGAGGATTTGTAATGCAAAAAATCGGGTTTAGATACCCGCGGTGGGCAGAGTACAGATAGCCTATTGGGTACTTTTGTGCTTACCAACAACAACAAACAAATAAACTATTTTTCTGGAACAAACGAGTTACAAGCATATTTATATCACATCACATCACAGAAATATATTTTCCTCATTGCTTAGAAACTAAAACACTAGCACGAAGTCGAAGTTCTTCGCGGGTGCAAGGTCCAACAACTGTCATGGCAGGTCTGATCTGAGCTAGCAGTGAGTATTGGTCTGTTATAAACCGACAATAATTATGGACTTGATCCACAGTAAATATAGAGCTAATCTGAGCCGGTAATTAAGCAAAGGTCTGATCTGAGCCGTCAGTAAGCGTTGGTCTGATCTGAGCTGGCAGTAAGTGTAGATTTGTTCTAACCCGGCAGTAAGTATGAACCTGATCTAATCCACAGTAAGTATAGGTATGATCTAAATCAGTAATAAGCCAAGGTCTGATCTGAGCCGTCATTAAGCATGGGTCTGAACTTAGCTGGCAGAAAGTATAGGTTTCGTCTAATCCGGCAGTAATTATGGGTCTGATCTGTGCTGGTAGCAAGCAAGGGTCTGAACTGAGTTGGAAATAAATATGGGTCTGATCAAACCGGCATTAAACATGGTCTTCATCTAGTCGAACAGCGAGTACTAGTCGGATTTGACCTGAGAACAAATATGGGTCTGATTTTAACAGTACAAAACATGGGTCTGGTGTTACTCGACAGCGAAACGTTAACCAAATAAAATAGAAATCAGGCTTGTAAAACATCTTGTTCAAGTGTTTGGAAAAATACATTTAAAAACCGTGCACATGCGGTTTATGAATTACCGGATAACGGATTCTCAAGAAAAAGAAAATTGAAAAGTGGTCTTCGAAAACAAAGACCCAACAAAACCCCACTTTATCAGGAGGCTGAAATACTAAAAAAAAAAAAAATTAGGGAAATATCGCTCACAACTGACAAAGAGTGAAAGAACAAAAATTTAAGCTGAATATCTCCGACAATGAAAGCACGTACTTGAACAAACTCGGGGGCGTAGGCGGAAATCTATAACAAGGCACTACATTTGGAAGAAAGAAGAAAATGGGGAAGCCGTATACTAGAGGGGTCTGTTGACATGTCACCGCGAAAATGTTTTTGTAATCTTCAATGGAAATTATAGATTATGAGGGCATATCCCCCCCCCCCCATATACACACGCCTAAGCTCATGCATGGTATCTTTCATAAAGTAAATACACTAGTATACATAACCTCACTTAAGTACCTTTCATAAAGTAAGTACACTAGTATACATAACCTCACTTAAGTACCTTTCATAAAGTAAGTACACTAGTATACATAACCTCACTTAAGTACCTTTCATAAAGTAAGTACCCTAGTATACATAACCTCACTTAAGTACCTTTCATAAAGTAAGTACACTAGTTTACTTTATGAAAGGTACTTAAGTGAGGTTATGTATGTACCCTAAAAATTAAGTTCATTTAAGCTTAGCTTCCAAAATAAACACCAGTGAACAACTTCGGTTGTATATCTTCCATAATTTAATAACACTAATGTCTAATTTCAGTATCTCTCACAATGTAAACACATAACACATACGCAGTTACCTAATAAACATTGCTGTTGATCATAATTGTCAAGTAACTCCCACATTTGGTTTTAAATATCGACTCTATACAACTAATATTATAATAACAGACATGTAAGACAGACAGTGTTAAAAAGTTACCTGATAAACATTGCTGTTGATCATAATTGTCAAGTAATTCCCACATTTGGTTTTAAAGATCAACTCTATACAACTAATATTATAATAACAGACATGTAAGACAGACAGTGTTAAAAAGTTACCTGATAAACACTGCTGTTGATCATAATTGTCAAGTAATTCCCACATTTGGTTTTAAAGATCAACTCTATACAACTAATATTATAATAACAGACATGTAAGACAAACAGTCTTAAAACATTAGGTCTGAGAAAGTTTTTGAAAATTCAATTTTTCCCTAGTAGGTGGTTAAAGGTCGACAGGCGGCGACAGCACGTGCGGCTCACGCTATACAACAGCTATGCCCACAGGGACAAAGAATAAAACAGCGGACGTTACGATGGACTGTTGCAACAAGAGAACGCCCGGGCTGAAAGGGTTTCCAGCGCTCGCCCACATTTGATTGATAAACGGACAGGAACACTATACTCTTGAAACGTCTCGTAAGCCAGACAGAGTTACCAGAAACAGTCGATGTTTTAAGTATTTAAATATGTGTTAAAATGTCCACATGGTTAAACTTTATATTCATGAATAGCTCTTCACATTTTTAAAGCCAGCATAAAAGCAGACATCTTAATGATACGTGTAAATAATAAAATACAATAACAACAGATTTGTTCTTTCATTGTATTTAAGCTTTGTAAGCTCTTTCTCGTTAAATTCGGGTGTAACCTATGTGTGTACTTTTATTTTGTTGAATTCAGGTAATCACAAAATCAAAACAATAAATACCGAATAACACTTGAACTATAATTTAGACATCTTGTACTGATGTCTAAAAGTCACGTGGCTATAGTTTGATCCGCTATGTTGGACGTGAACGTCATGTGTTACATTCGTATTTTAATATTTTGTTATCTGACGCTGTTTTACACCTCAGCAATGCACATAAAGAAAGGTATATCAAGAAACAAGAAGGGAATGTTTGAGATCCAATATGGCGGAATTGAATGAAACAAAGTTTAGTGAGTCACATATAGGACCTCTCTATATATGTTCTTTTTTTTTAAAAAAAATAGACATCTTTCAGCTTCTGCTTGACTAAGATTCAAAATCTTTACAATCGAATTAATTTTTAAAATATGGATTATGAAAGCACAAATAGCTAACTAATGACAGATTTTGATGGATGTACGTCAAAGTTCATTTTGATAGGGATGTCCAACCTTTCAGAACCCGGCAGGATAATACCGTTCTATATTCGCCAAGTAACTAATATTACAGAGAACTCCGTGATGTTTTACTTTTACAAATATGTTTGGGTTCGGTCCCCCCCCCCCTTCCCCTCGGATATTTGTGCAAAAACCGACATAACAATCACGGCCGGCTTTAGCAAGTGCGAGGCCCAAGGAAAGGCCCGGCCAAAACAGATAGATAGTCAAGTGCGAGGCCCAAGGAAAGGCCCGGCCAAAACAGATAGATAGTCATAGATAATCTTTATTTCAGTTGAACATAATAAATTGACCATCGTCCCACAGAACCAGAAAATATAACATACAGTCCCTGTAAAATGCCAAAGAAAGACATTACTGTTACAGAGCATCTTGCCATATCAATTCCATGAATGACATCCACATGAAACATAGAAAGCACGTTTATTAAGATCCAGAACACGTTTTTGGACATCCAAATGTTTCCCTCTCATGTTGAAGCCATACCGATCTACCAATAACTTCATTTTTTTTAGAAAGACAAGCAGATAATTAGTTAAGGTTTCTCTAATGTGTTTTTTCCACAGGAATGAAGGAATAATGTTCGAAGTTAAGGGTTCTCTAATGTGTTTTTTCCACAGGAATGAAGGAATAATGTTCGAAGTTAAGGTTTCTCTAATGTGTTTTTTCCACAGGAATGAAGGAATAATGTTCGAAGACAATGCGTTCGATAACATTTGCCAACGACGTTTTTGTCTTTTTTTTACTAAGTTCACCATTAATTTCATTAATCGTCTTTCCCTTTCTTAATCTTTTCTGCAGTTCAATCCAATTCATCATAGCATCAATGTGGTCTTTATCTTGTTCGTGTTCAGATAATTTTGCATTGATGTTTTTCAAATAACAAATGCTTTCTTTTGCCAATCCACTGCTGGTAGCTATAGGTAAAGTGAAAAGTTTAAAAAACAAAACAGTACACAGCATTGGCCGAATTGAAATACATCAACCATCGCCGATCAATCAATTCACCATTTGGCAATCTGAGTTTAATAATATGCCGCACTAAAATGTCTACCAGCTTCGTTAGTGGGAAAATGCACAACATCACATTTAATAGGCCCATTTCAACTAAAAAAAAACACAAAAAACAATCATATTATGGTTGAGAGTAACTGGCTAAAGTGCAGGATCACTTCTGGAAATCTACTGGCTATCTGAACTTACTTGAATGACTGTAAATGGCCCATGTTTTTCTTGCGTACTCGTATTACTGTTTCCATACGTTTTTATTCTTGTTCTTCAGAACCATTGGGGATGGTAATTAGGTTTTGCTCTACTATTTGAAAATCACTAACATCTTTTTATTCTTCTTCTTCAGAACCATTCGGGATGGTAATTAGGTTTTGCTCTACTATTTGAAAATCACTAACATCTTTTTCTTCTTGTCCTTCTATATCACCACTGCTAATTTTAATATATTTCAGCATCGATTGGCTTGTTTCTGGATTTCAGCTGCAACTTTTTCCGCTTACTAGCTAGACATTATTAGGTCTGAAAATAATACAAAATATGTTTTGAATAAATGTTATAATATATTATATATAAATTTATTTATTGTATATATATATATATTACAATAATTAACAGTTACGACATTTAAAATAAGCAAAGGAATATTGATAATTAAAAGTGGTATTGAAGCAATAGTATGAATGATCCTCAATCAATAATATATTTAGTTATAATGATCAAAATATCCAAGAGATGAGTTATAAAAATATCCACATATAATGATAATGATTGAGGTAGCAAGGAATACAATGTTATACATATTTCAAGAATGGTGTGATATTTCTTTAGAATAAATGAAACGTAAGGATAAATACAATTGAATACAATTTAAACAACAAAAATGTTACGTGTAGGCCTAATCAGATTAAAAATCATTAAGCGGAATTACAAGAATCACAATTGTGACAAATATAAGACAATTGATGACCAGGAGTACTGGCGTCATGAGCCCACATTTACATCCAGAATATTCGAGCCCACATTTACATCCAGAATATTCGAGCCCACAATTTACATCAAGAATATTCGAGCCCACATTTACATCCAGAATATTCGAGCCTCACAATTTACATCCAGAATATTCGAGCCCACAATTTACATCCAGAATATTCGAGCCCACATTTACATCCAGAATATTCGAGCCCACATTTACATCCAGAATATTCGAGCCCACAATTTACATCCAGAATATTCGAGCCCACAATTTACATTCAGAATATTCGAGCCCACATTTACATCCAGAATATTCGAGCCAACATTTACATCCAGAACATACATTCATTCGTATTCTGACACGAGCTATGCAGTATGCTCCTATAAGCCTCTATTTTAACCTTAAAATATATTCAAGCTATTTTATGTCAGCTATAAGACAACTCCTAATTAAATATCACAACTTTAAACTTAAACTCATGCATTATTTATAGTAGTGGGGTTAGTTGTCGCATGTAACAATCAACCCACTTTATTATGTGACAGCCAATCCCAGTACAGATTTTAATTTATTTATTACCCTAGTACACTGGATAGTTATTTAATTAAAACTAGCAAATACTAAACTTCTATGAAATATTTTCGGAATATTGTTAAATTTACTATAAAACTTCAAAAACAAAAATATATGCTAACTTTGCAAGAATACTGCATACACCCGTGAATTCAATAAGGCAAACTGAATTCAGCTTAGGCTTATCTCATTGTAAACATGAGCTACTAATGCCCTCTAAAAACAACAACAAACAAAAAAACTATAAAAACATGGCGCGAGGCCCAAGGCAGCTGCCTCGCCTGCCTGACCCAAATGCCGGCTCTGATAACAGTTATAGTTGTGCTAGCCGTCCATAATTTCGAACTGATAAGTTAAAGGGAAGGCAACTAGTTAACAAGACCCACCGCCAACTCTTGGGCTACTTTAATCGAATAGTGAGATTTTGCCACTTATAACGAATGCAGAAGGGCAGAGCGTTTTTTTTTTGCAACAACGGGACGCGAACTCAGACCCTCGAACTTACAGTCCGACAAAACGAATTTAGGGGAAAAAGTCACAATATGAAAATTTATGTTTATAATTTTTTAAGTTCATAGAAGTGAAATTATTCAATTATTCCATTCATTCATGTGATGATTGACCTCATGTGTGCCTGAAAAGTGCGCTTGACTCTGCATTACATATAAATACACTTGTCAAATTAACAGACTGTTTGTGGAGTGCTGTTTGACCAAAAAGCGTGACACAACGAATCATACTGACGAAATGCTTAGATCAGAAGATGTGTTAATAAATTCAATACATAATGTACGAAATGTAAGAGGATCCATCCAGGATTGTAATCCGGACTGATCTCATGTGAGGTCAGGTCAGGCACCACCTTCCTCGGATCAGATGTAAAGCCGTGTTCTTCAGGTGGTGGCAAGCCAGGCTAGTAGCCTTGTTCCTCATTTACTTTATATATATATATATATCTCATTGTACAACAGTTATGTTATTAATGTGTGTATGCCAAGTATTTTTCATGTAATCTTACCTATCATGCTATTATTCCAATAAATAAATAACTTTAAAATGCTTTTTATTGTATTACTTTACATTGTATTTTGGTATTAAAAACTTTGTGACTTTTTCCTGTGACTTTATTTCCGGCCACCGGCACAATAATCATAGGTCACGCCCGGCTAGGGCTAGAGGGTAAATATGTAGATGTGTATAAAAATAACCACGTTCTAAATATATATATATATATTGGAATGAATTAGGTTAGAAAATATTAACCACGGGGATTTTCTCTTATCCTGTATAGTAAGTTATTTGGTATTTTATTGTATTTCTGAGACTGGAAACAAGCGCCAATTGAATATTAATCCAAGTTTATGTTTTTATTGATTAATTAATTACGTCCGTGTAAAGGATGCTACCACCTGGATTCTAAAATCATAAATAAATACAACAGAATTATAAATTTCAAGACGCTCTAATTTATTTTATCCGCTAGGATTCGCTATTCATTTCGTAGAACCCCAAGTTCAAAGAGTCGTTGTGCCACAATTAAAATACAGTTTTTTTTTTTTTAACATTCTAACAAAGAAATGCTTATTTGATGAACGTCACTATCTTCGCCGATATTGTATTCGTTTAATCTAAAACAGCTGAACAATAACCAGCTTGTGCATTCGTTAGATCTATATGTGTTAATGTAAGGCATAACTCTTACCAAGTTGTACGTGGATGGCAGCTCCTTAACACTGATAAGTTGTTCATAAATGAACACATGAACGTACGGCGATGTGAACAGGAAGCGGTTTCGGGTATGCTCGTTTGTTGGTTTGTCTTTTCACAACCAACTCTTTAATTGCTTGTATCTAGGTTTTAAATAGGCTTAAAGGTTGAAACCTTGAAGTAATAATCAAGGTTAGCGAAAAAAAAATATTGGCACTTGGATACGGGTGGGTCTTGAGTTGAAGATTTTAAAGTTTTTTCTTAAATATAATATAAATTAAATAGGTTGATTACACTTATATATATAGAGAAATTACACATATCTTTATTTAATGTTTGAGCTATCAATTTTTCTTATTTCAATATATGTAAAAATTGGACGTTTTGTTTTTGTTTTTTGTCGGTTTCGAAGTGTGTTACCATAAAATGTACAGTCTTGGAAACATAATCCCCCATCAGTCGAAGTGTGTTACCATAAAATGTACAGTCTTGGAAACATAATCCCCCATCAGTCGAAGTGTGTTACCATAAAATGTACAGTCTTGGAAACATAATCCCCCATCAGTTTTTATCGAATTTTTCCAATATTAAAGCATCCTACTTTTTGTGAATCAAATACTCACGATCAAATACTATCTTTAGAACAGAATGAATTATAAGACATAGACAGATATCAATATTTACATTTAGGACCAGGATCATACAGTTGAAGGCAGAATGAATTATAAGACATAGACAGATATCAATATTTACATTTAGGACCAGGATCATACAGTTGAAGGCAGAATGAATTATAAGACATAGACAGATATCAATATTTACACTGAGGACCAGGATCATACAGTTGAAGGCTGAATGAATTATAAGACATAGACGGATATCAATATTTACACCAGGATCATACAGTTGAAGGTTTGGTTTGTTTTGAATTTCGCGCAAAGCTACACGAGGGCTATCTGCGCTAGCCGTCTCTAATTTAGCAGTGAGAGACCAGAGGGAAGGCCGCTAGTCATCACCCCCTCCGCCAACTCTTAGGCTACTCTGTTACCAACGAATAGTGGGATTGACCGTCACATTATAACGCCCCCACGGCTGAAAGGTGTTTGGTGGGACGGAGATTCGAACTCGCGACCCTCAGATTGCCAGTCGAGCGCCCTAACCACCTGGCTATGATAATCGTTTTGGTGACAATACATATTGAAATTACGAGAAAACCGTGTTGTTAATGTTCTGTTATATTCATTGTTTTGAAGGGTACAGCAGCCAGTTGTACCTATAGGCACAGAAGCGCGTGAAGAAACGTAAACCATAGGCGTAGAAACCTATTGTTGACTTTTTATGCATATCTGGACTTAGGCTTATTAAAAACGAATACACAGTTTTTGTCTCACATAATATATACCGTTTATGGTCTCTCGGAATTTAATTCCAGCAGGAAAGAAATTCTCCTCCACCACGATGTGATTTAAGATTTTTGTTTTCTTATTTGTTGGTTGTTAAGCCCACAGCGGGTATTGAAACCTGATTTTTATCGATGTAAGTCATCAGACATACCGCTGAGTCACTGAGAGGGATTTAAGAATCAGATTTGTAAAGTATGTCTACAAGAGTTAAGCTTGTCCTTTTCAAAGCATATAAAACAAACATACAATCCTTTATACGCTTAAGAAAAAGCCCCCCAGTGGCACAGCGGTATGTCTGTGGACTTACAACGCTAGAATCCGGGTTTCGATACCCGTGGTGGGCAGAGCACAAATAGCCCTTGTGTAGCTTTGTGCATAATTAAAAACAAACAAGCTTAAGAAAAAACAAACAGTTTTATATATTTGCTTATTTTAAGTAACTGAAAATAATTTGATTCTAATACCTTGAAGAATATTTTCAACTTAACTTACAGTACAAAATACAAATAAATGATTGGATGTGGGAGATTAATTCATTTACAAAAAATTTACAAATATTTTGAATACCTTCAACAATCAATCTCTGTCCCACCTACTAATCCAGTGGTGGATCAACGATAAGCTAAAATTGAGTTTCGATACCCGCGGTGGGCAGAGCACAGCGAGCCTATTGCGTTGCTTTGTGCTTTACAAAACAAACAAACTGGGAGAATTTAGATGTATTTTTGTCCGTAGAATTCGTTTATGTAGTCAGAGTTATGCGCTACATTTTATGACGTCACGGCATTTTTGTGGTGGTAGTAGTAGCAGACTGTTCGCCGTTTCCTGGATCCGGTGACGAAAGGTGGGAAAATATAAAGAGG